GCACCTTCCCCCTGCCCTGGATCTTCATTTTCCCACTTGCAGCCAAGATATTGGTTCCCAAACCTGAGCTCAGACCCTGGGCTTTTGTTTCTTCCCTCTGCTGCTCCACAGGACTCAGTCTGCCCTCTCAGAGGCTCAGGGGGTGAAGGGTGTTGTGTCAGTAGCTCCTCTAGTTCAGATCCCAGTGCAGATCCTGCACTGACCGACCTGCCAGCACTTCCAACCTCACCTGAATTTGAGCCTCCAAGTCAGCTCCACTTGGCTGCTCTGACGTGGCTGGGAAGGCCCCAGAAGAAGAGGGAAATGTGCCCTTAAATCACTGGCTTAATTCAGACAAGCCAGCACAGGTTCACTGTTTCTGGCCTGAGGAGGATGGAGAAAATTGTGCTGGAGAAGCTGTGTTGGAAAGTCAAGGCTGCAGCAGCTTTCCAATTTCCACAGCTCTATCATGCACTCATTCCTGGGAATTTAGGCTGGGAAAGGAGAAGGTTCCTTAATTTTAGGAGCCTTGAGACTCAACTTAAGGCCTTAAGGTTTTCTAAAGCCAAGCCTTGTGTCTTGGCACTGTCTGTTCCTGCACTAGAGATGGACGAATAAAAGCTGCTGGAGTTGCCAGAGGCGCTGGAATTGCTGCAGCTGCATTCCAGGAGATGCCCTGACAAATCCTGGACCCCTCAGGCCCCTCTTTGGAGGGGCTCAGGAAGGTCCTGCTGCTCTGCCCTGACGGGTGCCCTGTCCCCCAGGGAGGGTGACCTGCGAGGAGCCCAACAGCCGCATGCACAGCTTCACAGGCACCCTGGAGTGGAGGGGACAGACCCACTCCCTGGACAGCGAGAGGATCCTGCTCAGGGGCTGCAGGATCCGCAACACCCACCTCTGCTACGGCCTGGTGATCTACGCGGGTGAGAGCACGCCCGGGGAGGGATGGGGGGGAAACACCCGGGATTTTAAGCTGCCCCAGCACTTCTGGCACCTGAGACGAGGTGGAGGAGCTGCTGCCTCAGCCAGGCCCCCAGATGTTTGTCCCCAGCCTCGCTGGTGCTGGGCTGGCTGGCAGGGACACCGTGTGGTGGTGTCAAACCATGGCCATGTCTCACTTGCACCACGCCCTGGGTCCTCCAAAGCCTTCAGAGGAGGGGAGATGCTGCTGTGGGGGAAACTTAGCTGCAAGTCAACCCTCTGGGGGCCGTCTTTTTACGTCTAAAACCTTCCTTGTCCAGGATTTGATTCCAAAATTATGAGGAACTGCGGGAAGATCAAGCGGAAGAAAACCAAGCTGGACCGCATGATGGACCGGCTGGTGGTGGTGGTGAGCGCGGTGCCAACACCTCTGCCCTGCTCCACCAGCCTCCTGGGGCTGCTCACAAGCCTCCTCGTGAGAGGCTGCCTGCTTGGGTGATGCTGATTTTTCCTAAGCCTGCGATATTTTGCCCAAAATATCTTGAGTTTGACGCACTCGTAGGATCAGGGAGTGGGTGGGGTTGGAAGGGACCTTAAAGCCCATCTCATTCCATCCCCCTGGCTTGTGCAGGGACACCTTCCACTAGAGCAGGGGTACTGGAGACGTTGACCCTAGAGAAGTGGTGGGCTCTGCAATGGGATGTTCCCATCCTGGGTCGTTCCCATCCTGGTTTTCCTTCCCCAGATCTTCCTGCTGCTGTTGGTCACATCCCTCTGCCTCGCCGTCGCCTCCGGGTTCTGGGCCAGGATGTTCCAGGAGAAGCACAGCTACCTGGCTGCCATCTACAGGAACACGAGCCCTGCCCAGCAGGCCTTCTTCAACTTCTGGGGCTTCACCATCCTCCTGAGCGTCATCATTCCCATGTCCATGTACATAACGTAAGGACCTCCGGGCTGGGAGGGGATCGGGGCTGGGGATCCCACCAGGTGCCACCTGGATCACAAAGTGACCCCCCCCAAAAAATAAAACAACTGGGGCTGTGCTGGAGGTCGAGGTGTGGCCTGGGGCACCTCATTCCTGTGTGTGAGAGGGGAAGGGTGGGTGGCGTGTGTATCCCACAAACACAGAGAGATCCAGGAGCTGTTCTGGTGTTGGGAATCATGGGCAGGCCGAGGGTGAGGCTGGTGAAGGTGGTGCTTCCCAGGGTGGGGGAGAGCAGGGCATGGTCGCTGTGAGCAGGCAGTGATCACAGATTGTGCTGGAAAAAAAAACCAAACAGTTTTCCAAACTTTTTGGCCCTTCACTGAACCTCCAGATCTGCGAGTTCTGTCATCAAGGGCCAGAATTCCAGAGGGGAGCCCAGCTGCCTGGGTGGGTGATGAACCTTCTTGGAAACCTGGCCATGAGCAACAAAAAAACCCCCCTCTTGTCTCCCCCAGCCCAGAGCAATCGGATCCAGGTGGGGAGTCCCCCCCTGCCCTTCCTTCCCCCCCTGGGATGTGAGGAGCACCATCTCCTCCTCCCCTGTTTTCTTCTCCCCAGGCTGGAATTCATCTACCTGGTGAACAGCTTCTTTATCAACTGGGACCTGGGGATGTATTACGCTGTGAAGGACATTCCAGCCAAAGCCAGGAGCACCAGCCTCAACGACCAGCTGGGCCAGATCGAGTACATCTTCTCGGACAAGACGGGCACCCTGACCCAGAACATCATGAGCTTCAAGAAGTGCTGCGTCAGCGGCACCATCTACGGTACCCTGGGCTGGCAACCAGTTTGTAGGGGCCAAAGAAATCATCATTCCCTTTCAGTGGGTTAATTAGAGTGAATGTGTGTCATTGCTCTTCATTTCTCTTCTTATTTTAAATTTTTTTTTCCCAGTTGTTATTTTGAATCATTCTGCTTGGTTTCCCCCTTAAAAACTTGAAAATTGCCAAGTCACTTCTACTCTTCTTGCTATTCTCACTCGAGCTCTTGGCTTATTTTTGGGAGCTGTCTTGGTGCATAACTAGTGAAATTCAGTGGGTGGAGTGAGCCAGAGCTCTTTTTCCTGAGATAAGAGAAAATTTGTCTCAGGTGCTTGAAACAAATGGACAGTGACAAAAGCAAAAAGGAAAGGGGGGGAAAAAAAAATCCAGCAAAGTTTTTAAGCAGGAATAAACCCCCAGTTTTACCCTCCCTGTGGAGCAGCATCTCCCTGATACCAGCAGCCTGAAACGTGGGGGAAAGTAGAGCTGAATTTTTAACGTTAAAATCGTGTCCAAAGCCTGAACAGCCCAAAATTCAGGAAGATCAGACCTGGATATCCCAGTGGAGCCTGACACCACTCCCCAACCTCTGCCTTGCTGGCCGGTTTTTGGCCCCCAGGGGCAGGGATCCCCCCAGAGAAGCTGCTCCAAGCCCAGCTGATGCCACTCCCTGTTAACTGCAGCGTTTTTATTTTGGCAGGTCCCGGCACAGGCCACGAGAACAAACAGCCACCAGTGAGTAACTCCCCCCTCCCCGTTCAGGGGCCGTTCCAGGGGTTTAGAAAGGGGGGTTTAGAAAATAACCTGGTTCTGGTTTTTAGGTTTCTTTAATTTCTTTTATTCCCAACCTCTTCACACTCTCAGGATGGGCAGGGCAGGGCAGGGCTGGCTCAGCCTCTGCCCACCCCCTGTGCTCCATCTGCACCCTCACCCTGCCCGTGCCTCTCGCAGGGCTTGGGGCCAGCCTGGGACCACCGCGGGGAGCTGAAGGTGGATGTGAGGCTGTTGGAAGCCGCCCAGAGGGACAGTGACCCCGTGCTGAGGGAGTTCCTGAGGCTGCTGGCGCTGTGCCACACGGTCATGGTGGAGGAGAGGGGCGGTGGGTTGAGGTCGAGCTGCCCCTCGGGGCTCTGAGGCTGCCCTGGCTTTTGGCATTGCCCAGCTGTGGGGGAGCAGGGGGGGTGGGAGCCCGGGGAAGGGGGGCTCGTGCCACTGTCCCTTTGTCATGGACATGTGCATTTGGGTTTGTTTTAAACCTCACCAAGGGGAACAGAAGCACAGGGGGACGACCCGTCCCTGTCTGGGGCAATGAGTGGAAGAGATCGTGGAATCCCAGAGTGGTTTGGGTTGGGAGGGACCTTAAAGCCCATCCAGTGCCACCCCCTGCCATGGGCAGGGACACCTTCCACTAGCCCAGGGTGCTCCAAGCTGGCCTTGGACACTCCCAGGGATCCAGGGGCAGCCACAGCTGCTCTGCCCAACCTGTGCCAGGGCCTGCCCACCCTCCCAGCCAGGAATTCCTTCCCAATCTCCCATCCAACCCTGCCCTCTGGCAGTGGGAAGCCATTCCCTGTGTCCCGTCCCTCCATCCCTTGTCCAAAGTCCCTCTCCAGAAGGGTCTGAGTTTCCCTGGCCTGTTAGTTTGGACTTTGGGATGTCCCCACTGCTCTTGGTGCAGGGCAGGGACAGGGCATTTCAGCTGCCCGAGCATTGTCTGTCTGGGAGTCTCCATGTCAAACCTTCCCTCCTGTCTGCAGACCAGCTGATTTACCAGGCAGCCTCACCAGATGAGGAGGCCCTGGTGTTGGCAGCCAGGAGCTTGGGGTACGTGTTTCTGGCCAGAACCCAGGACACCATCACCATCAGAGAGCTGGGGAGGACCAGGACCTACCAAGTGCTGGCCATGCTGGACTTCAACAGCGACCGCAAGAGGATGTCTGTCCTGGGTGAGGGGGCTGGGGGGGTCTCAGGGAGCCCCTGAGGGGACATGGAGGGTCCCTTCCACGCTCAGCCCCACAAGGGATGGCACTGGGATGGATGGGACTGAGCACTGGGGTGACTGAGCATTGGAAGGGGCTGCCCAGGGAGGGGGTGGATTCACCATCCCTGGAGGTGTTTAAGGACAGACTGGACGTGGCATCAGTGCCATGGTCCGGGTAACAAGGTGGTGTTGGGTCGTGGGTTGGGCTGGATGATCTCAGAGGCCTTTTCCAACCAAAATGATTCTGTGATTCTGTGTCCAAAAGTGGCACAGGGGCTCCTGAGGGTCCCCCAGGTCATCCCCGTGGTTTTTGCTCAGCTGATAACCTTGGTGAGGGGCTTGAGCAGCCAAGACGAATAAAAACCAAGTAAATGCAGGGCTCAGAGGAGGTGTGTGAGGAACTGTCAGTCCCTGAGGCCTCGGGGCAATGAAGGCCTGAGGAAATTCCTGCGTGGAAAAGCACCGGCGAGCCCTGCGGGTGCCTCCTGGGGGACAACAGGGGCCAGCAGGGCCATCTTACGGGGTTGGTGGGTGGGAGCCGTCCCTGAGGGGACTTGAGCTGTGCTCCCCCTCCCTCCCAGTGCGAGACCCCCAGGGCAGCATCCGGCTCTACACCAAGGGAGCCGACACCGTCATCCTGCAGAGGCTGCGGAGCCGCGGCCCCGGCGAGGCCCTCACCGAGCGGGCCCTGGATGTGAGTCCCACCCAGGCACTGCTCCCCCTCCTGCTGGCTTTGGGCTGGCTGTCCCAGAGCCTCCCTCGCTGCTCTTTCTCCCTCTGGCTTCAGGATTTTGGTGCTGCCCTTCCTTCTGCTCTGGGAGCCCCCCCGCTGCTTGTGGGATGGGAAGGGGGTGGTAAGAGGGCACCAACCCCACCTTTGATGTCCTGCAGGGACCAGCTGCAGTGCAAGGATGCTCATGGGGGATGCTTTAGGATGGGGGAGGGAGTCAGAACCCACAGAGAGGGACCCTCAGGTGTGCCTGGCTGTGCTGATGTGCCCTGCCTGCAGCTCTTTGCAGAGGAGACCCTGAGGACCCTGTGTGTGGCCAGCAAGGAGGTGAGCGAGGCCGAGTACCAGGAGTGGGGCAGGAGGCACCACGAGGCCTCTGTGCTGCTGCAGGACCGTGCCCAGGAGCTGGACAGGCTGTACGAGGAGATGGAGCAGGACCTGCAGGTGGGAGGGGGCACAGGGGCTGGGAGGAACCCCACAGGGCAGGAGGGGGGGGTTGGGCTCTCTGGGGTGAGGGGGTGAAGTGTCCAGCCCAACACCCACCCACTGGGTGGGAGGGCAGGTGGATTTCCCCCCCCAGGTGTGACTCTGTGACGTGTCCCTGGACACTGGGGTACCTGTCAGGTCGTGTCCACCCCCAGCGAGGGCTGCTGGTTGGATCCAGGGGTAATTCCCAGCTCCATATCATACCCTGCCCCGTGCCATGACTCCCAATTCACCCTCCTTCATCCAGGGGTAATTCCCAGCTCCATGTCATGCCCTGCCCTGTGCCATGACTCCCAATTCACCCTCCTTCATCCAGGGGTAATTCCCAGCTCCATATCATACCCTGCCCCGTGCCATGACTCCCAATTCACCCTCATTCATCCAGGGGTAATTCCCAGCTCCATATCATGCCCTGCCCCATGCCATGACTCCCATTCACCCTCCTTCATCCAGGGGTAATTCCCAGCTCCATGTCATGCCCTGCCCCGTGCCATGACTCCCGTTCACCCTCCCTGCAGCTGCTCGGGGCCACAGCCATCGAGGACAAGCTGCAGGAGGGAGTCCCTGAGACCATCCAGCTGCTGAAACTGGGCAACATCAAAGTGTGGGTGCTGACAGGAGACAAACAAGGTCAGTGGAGGCAGCCACAGAGCCCACCAACACGTTTCAGCTCCTCCCCTCCCCAGGACTGTCCCTGGAGGTGTGTCAGGGCAGACTGGACGTGGCACTCAGGGCCATGGTTTAGCAGATGAGGTGGTATTGGGTCAAAGGTTGGACTGGATGATCTCAGGGGTCCTTTCCAACCCAGCTGATTCTGTGGCCAGAGAGGTGAAGGGACCCTGGGAGTGGGAAGGAACTGGGTTATGCTGGTGCTTTCATACAGCAGCAGAGAGAGTCCCACTGAGACCAGGTCTCCCCCAGAGCAGGTTGTCCTTGGAAAGCTGAGGCAGGGGAAGCCACCTCTGCGATGGCTGGGGCTGGAGCAGAGCCCCCAGCAGCTGCTGCCCACCATGGGCTGTGGGTGCCCTGGGGAGGGGGGAGCAGCAGCACTGACCCCGTGTGTTGCAGAGACTGCCACCAACATCGGCTACGCCTGCAAACTGCTGACGGACGACACGGAGATCCTGGAGGAGAAGGAGGTCAGGTGAGGAACCGTGACCTCCTGGTTCCCTGTCCCTGCTGAGGACACACCTGAGGGCACAGGGACCAGGGCAGGGCAGGCAGAGCTGAACTCAGCCCGAGATGCTTCTTCCCTGTCCCAGCCTGCACATCCACGGTCCCATCTGCTGAGGCTTTTCCAGACCTCCCCCTCTGTTGCAGCAGCTCTTCCTTGGCAGGCTTGGAGCAGAAAGGAGAGAGGCTGATTTCTGATGTCAGCAAGCCCTTGGGGTGCCCTCTCTGACCCCCCTCAGTTCCCACCACTGGCTCCCCAGTCCCATCTCCCTGGCTCTGAGATGCCAAAGGCGCCCCGTGGGTCTCAGTTTGCCCACCCAGTGTCCTCAGCTCAGCTCCCACCACCCCTTCCTCACCCAGTGAGATCCTCCAGGCTTACTGGGCCAGCAACAACAACCTCAGTGGCAGTGGGGGAGCCCCAGGCAGCAGCCACCCATCCCAGCAGTGCCCAGAGGCTCCGTGCCACAGGAGGAGAGCCGTCATCGTCAGCGGGGACTTCCTGGTAAGGTGGCACCGGGGATGCTCCTCTCTGCTCCCTGCCTGTGCTGGCAGGTTCTTGTTTCTGCCCTGGGTGGCACCAGCACGTGGAGGACGTGATGCCCCTCCTTGCCCAAGGGGTGGGAAAAGCCCATTTGGGGCTGGGGAGGGAAGAGTGGGGAGGGGACCAACCTTGCACAGGTCATTTGGGGTTGGGGGATGGCACAGGCTGAGTGGCCATCACGTGCTCCTCTGGCCATACTGGGACACACTGGTCTCATGGTCGCAGTGTCTGCTGCGTGGTGAGCTTGGAGAAGACTGGAGCCACTCGTTTCTGTAGTATTTTCAAGATTTAGGAGCATCCTGGAGGGGCTGGGGGCCCCCCAGCGCTCTGGAGGCGGTGGGTGAGGCCCCCACCGCGTGTGCTCTCCCCTAAGGACAAAATCCTGCGCACGGGAGAGGTGCTGAAGGAGAAGAAGGGGTGGCCGTGGCGGTGGCTGCCCCGTGGCGGGACTGGGGTCTCCCAGGAGCAGGGCAGCCTGGTGGAGAAGGCCTTCGTGGACTTGGCCACCAGCTGCCAGGCCGTGATCTGCTGCAGGGTGACCCCCAAGCAGAAGGCCCTCATCGTGCAGCTGGTGAAGAAGCACAAGCAGGCCGTCACCCTGGCCATTGGGGACGGGGCCAACGACGTCAACATGATCAAAAGTGAGTCACTTTGGGCCAGGGGGAAGGTGGGGGGGGGGTTTGGCTGGTGTGTCCCACCGGTGGGGCCCAATCTGCCATCTGTGGGATACAGGGGGTTTATTCCCTGTGCCCACCACTCCTGGGTTCACCCTGTCCCCACGAGCCCCGGGGATACTGAGCCCCCAGCTCCCCAAAAACCTCCCCTCATGCATTTTACCCCCTCAGCCGCCGACATCGGGGTGGGGATCAGCGGGCTGGAGGGGCTGCAGGCCGTGCAGTGCAGCGACTACGCCCTGGCCCAGTTCTGCCACCTGCAGCGCCTGCTGCTCGTCCACGGCCGCTGGGCCTACCTGCGCATCTGCAAGTTCCTCCGCTTCTTCTTCTACAAGACCTTCGCTGGGCTCATGGCCCAGGTCTGGTTCGCTTTCCACAGCGGATTCACGGCTCAGGTGAGGCCTGCAGAGGTTTTGGGGGGTGGTCACAGCAGTGTTACCACCCCCCCTCTGCTCAGGATGCCTTGCAGGGACGGTGCCTGACGGACACGTGTCCGTGTCACCGCCCTGGTCCTCTTTCTCCCTTGTCCAGTTCTTGGTCTCCCTTTCTCCATGTCCATTTTTTTGGGGGTTGCCTGGGTGAGCTGTGACTGGTTGTCTGCTTTTCACCTAGCTGGGTTGGGAGAAGCAGCCCTGGGGAGGTTCGGGATGTCCCTGTGAGCTGCAGCTCAGTCTTGGGTAGATGCAGGGAAAGATCCCACGTGGTTTCCTCCAAACCAGGAGCTTTTATCCCAGGGGCCAAGTCAGTGGGACTTGGCCAAAACTGCAGGGCTCTTCTAACCCTAATCCTAATCCTAATCCTAATCCTAATCCTAATCCTAATCCTAATCCTAACCCTAACCCTAACCCTAACCCTAACCCTAACCCTAACCCTAACCCTGCAGCACAGCCCCACAGACAATGTGGGGCTGATGCAGAACCTGGCCCAAGTCCCTGGGAATTTCCACGATTGGATGTGTCTCTCAGACTCACCCCTGGGACCTGAGCATCATTTTGAGTCGTTCCAAAGCCCCCCTGAGCTCACAGCTGCTTCCTCTTCCCTTCCAGCCCCTGTTTGAGGGCTGGTTCCTCGCACTCTACAACATTTTCTACACTTCCTACCCCGTGCTGTCCGTGGGCCTTCTGGAGCAGGTATGGATTTCTTGGGCTCATCCCTGGGGGATCTGCACAACCCTTCGTGTGGTATCAGCAGCTCGAGGGGCGTTTGGAGCTCACCAGTCCTGGGCTGCCTGTTCCATCCCCACCCCAGAGCCACGGGGCAGTGGGACCTACTGCAGCTCCCCCAGGGGGGTCGTGTGGGGTGGGGGAGTGCCCCAATCCTGGCATCCCCTCCGTGATGCTCGGCCCCCTCCTGGCAGGACGTGAGTGCCAAGCAGAGCCTGCAGTTCCCCGAGCTCTACGTGACGGGGCAGCAGGACGAGCTCTTCAACTACCGCGTGTTCGGGCTCACCCTCCTGCACGGGGTCGGCACTTCCCTCACCAGCTTCTACATCGCCCGCTGGGCCTTCGAGGACCACGTTGGCAGCAAAGCTGTCGGGGACTACGAGTCCTTCTCCGTCACCGTGGCCGTGTCGGCGCTGCTCTCGGTCCTCGTGGAGGTGAGTGTCGGTCTGCTCCTCCCCAGCCCGTCCCCACAGCAGGTGTTTAGGGTCTGCAGCTCTGACACCTTCCCCAGCCTGTCCCCACAGCAGAGGTTTGGGCTCTGACACCTTCCCCAGCAGCTTCGTGGCTGGGGGGGTGATCAATCCTGGGTGGAGGAGGAATTTGGGACAAAAGGGCCACCACGGCCCCCGTGAGACACTGTGTGCTCTGCCCTCGTCCACGCAGATCGTCCTGGACACCAGGTTCTGGACTGTGTTGTCCTTCCTGATGGTCACAGCCAGCCTGCTGTTCTTCTGCCTCTTCTCCTTCCTGACCCAAAGTGTTGATGCCTTCAGGATAGCCCCTGCCATCTTCTCATTCCCAGGTGAGCTGCCCTGGGCATCCCCACGCTCCTTCCCTTGCCCAGCCAGGAGAGCCCAGCCTGGCCTTGGTGCTATGGCCTCCTTCCCACCCCGTGACTCATCTCCTTGCTGCCACTTCCCAATCTTGCCATCTTGACATCTGACCCCAGTTCAGGTGCCACCTCTTTCTTCAGAGCCCTCCACGGGTGGGCTCCCGTCCCCCAGCAGTTGTTTCCCTCTGCCCTCTCCACCTTCCCTACTCAAACATCACCCCCCCACACCCCCCAAATTCTCGTGCTGACAGATGCCAGCCGGAATGCCCTCACTGACCCCTACGTGCTGCTGGTGGTCCTGCTGTCCCTGGTGGTGAACACCATCCCCTCACTCACCGTCCACGCGTTCCGCGCCACCACGGGCAAAACCACCATCCAGCAGGTGAGGGCTGGGAGGGGCTGCCATGGCTGGGGGGAGCTGCCTCCCACTGGTGTTGGTGTCTGGGACTGGTGATGGGAAGGGTGAGGGTCCCCAGGAAGCCTGGACTGTGGTGGTGGGATATGTCACCTTCCCGTGCTGGCACCAGTCATGGTTGTCTTTCGTGACACTGGATCCCAGCTCTGAGTTCAAGACCCTCTTCCCAAATTGTTCCAGGGCCCAGCAGGAGGCCCTGGGGCAGAGAGACCTGCCCCAGCTCTTGGAGAGGGTCTGCTTTTGGCTGCAATGATGAACCGGCCTCCAGGACCTCCCATGAGGCTCTGGAGTTTGCTGCGGGTCTTGCTACCACCCCAGCCTTGGCAGAGCTCATCCCCCTCTCTGGGTGGTGGGTCACACCTTCCTGGTGCTACAAGGAGTCCCAGAGGGGAGCTTTGTGCTCCAGAGCTCCCTGAGCTCTGCAGGCCCCTGGGAGGGTCCCCACATTCCTCATCCCTTCACGGAAAAATCCGGTCACGCTGGAGCTGGGAGCCAAACCGTGCCCCTGCGCTCCCTGCACATCCTCCCCTGGGCTGAGGGCTCACCTGGGAGGTGTCCTCAGCCCTGATCTCCCCCTCTCCTTGCAGAAGATCCACTTGAAGGCCAAGAAGGAGCCGGAGCCCTCGGTGGAGCTGAAGGCCCACATCCCCCGGGGCTCCTTCTGCCGCCGCTCCAGCTACGCCTTCTCCCACCAGCAGGGCTATGCTGGGCTCATCACCAGGGGGGACAGCCTGAGAGCCAAGGCCACCCCTGGGGACAGCCTGAGGGCCAGGGCCACCCCTGGGGATGGCCTGAGGGCCAGGGCCATCCACAGCACCATCCCAGAGGGGACCCCGGCCATGTCCCCCCCCCACAGCCCCTCGGTGTAGCTGCCCTGGCTGGCACCGACCTCCCACCCTGCTGGGACAGGGGAGGAGTGTCAAAGGCGCACAGGTGGCTGCCTCCCTCCTCTTCTGGGCTACCTTTTAGTCTTATCTGGTGGGTTTGCAGCCCCTGGGGTGTGTCCTGCAGTGGCTCCATCTCACAGAATCACTCAGTCAGGGCTGGAAGGCACCTCTGGAGGTGTCACCCCCACACGGTGTGTGCATGGGCTTTGCAGGAGGCTGCAGAGCTGTGAAAGCCACTGACTGCTGCCACCAGGCTGGTCCCCTCACTCTGTGAGCCCCTGGCTGGCACCTCAGCCCCCTCCCCTCTGCTGAGCCCCTCAGAGCCGAGGCTTCCTCCTGGCTGAGGCTGATCCTGCTCCTGGCTGGGGGCCACAGACAGCAAGGGGGCTGTCCCAGAGCCATTATCCCACCTCTGAATGATTTAAACACCCTGATGGGTGGTGGGTGCAGCCCCTCACCCTGCTCACCCCCACCCCCCTCCGTGGGCTGAGCTGCAGTGGCTGCACAGAGAGCTTTGTCTTGTGTTCCCCACACAGGGCTGGTTTCTACCACCTGGCTTTCATCTGCATCAACCCAACAGACCACACAGTCACAGAGTCCCTGAGTGGTTGGGGTTGGAAGATCCTAAAGCTCATCCCTCTCCATCCCCTGCCATGGGCAGGGACACCTCCCAGTGGCCCAGGTTGCTCAGACCTGAGCAGTGTGGTTTTGAAATGCCCCCTAATTTCTGCAGGAGGATCCACGTGTGGTTGATGGATCACCTGCAGATCTTCCTCCTCCAGCCAAACCAGCCTGGCTCCTGCAGCCTCTCCTCGTCCCTCCCCACCCTTCCCTTCCCACCTCCTCCACCATCCCTGCACTGTGTGCCATCTCCACGCCATTCCCCCTTTGGGGACAGTTTGTGGCCACGGGTTGTCCTCTGCAAAGCCCCAAAAAGTGCTCCTGGGGGAGGCTGAAGCACTGGGGGGGCCGTGAATCAGCTCTGCCCGCTGGGCACGGGGCACGTTCCTGCACACTCTGCAGCTGCTGGAGGAGTGGTGTGTGTGAACAACTGACTGGTGGCTGGGTCACCCTTTTTATTGTCCTCATTTTTTTAATTAAAAGGATTCTGGCTTTTCTCTGCTCTCCTGATTTATCTCTGCCATGCCACGAAGGGGCAAAGAAAGTGTTCTGTGGTCCCCCTGTGCGTGTCACCGGCACTTGTGCCGTGGCAAAACGCACAGGAGGACAAGATATTTGGGTAAAACCACCCCAAATTAAATCAGCCACGGGGACTTGGCCCTGCCTGCAGCACACACGACCCGATGGGTTTGTTTAACAAGCGCTTTGGCCCCGTCTGCACCGAGCTTGTGAGAATTAAAGTGTTTCCCTTGGGCTCTGGCCAGGAGGGGCTGGATGGTGCCAAGAAATTTCCTCGAGGAAAGCTCTCACCCCCCTGGAAAACTGGGAGCTTTTCCCCAGCTGCATCTCCATCCTGGTGCTGCCAGGGCAGGGTTAGGGAGAGGAGCTGAGGTGGTTAAAATTGGGGGGGGGGGGGCATCAGCAGGGACACACACACGCCAGGGTGAATGACTAGAAAATAATTTATTGAAGAAACAGAAAGCTGCAGAAATACAACACAGTCATGACCAGTAGAGGATGAACAAATAGAGATTAATTTTTTTTTTCTCTCTCTCTCTCTTTTAAAACCTGTTGACAGGCTGGAGTTAAATTTCCTGATAACTTCCCCTGCATGAGTCATTGCAAAGAACGAGGAACAAACTCCAGAGCACACAGCACAGTTTGGATAAAGTGCCTGACACATAAGACTCTTTTTTTTATTTTTTTTTTTAATTTTTT